AATCATTTACAGCCATGTCAATCCACTGCTGTGTTGGCCATGGGGGGGTGGAATTCTATATATATAAATTACTTTTATTTTTGCAGGAATATTTTTTAGATGGGTCCTAAATGATGATATTTGGCAAAAGTATTGATAATTTTCCTTCACGATAATGTGTCTCCATGCCCAAACAAGACTGAATAAGAGTTTCTAATTTTCCATTCAAAGCCCGATACCGGGAGTGGCAACTCCACATTCTCATGACAGAGGCCGGTCCCCTCCAGTTTTTTTTTACTTCAAAGTCGTACTAATTTTTAAATCCTTTATATTAAATTCACTTGATTGCTTGCTTGCGCGCTTACGACCGTGCAAATCTTTCGGTCGTTTTTAACCCACTTCCCGTGATCCAATCGAGCTGACATTTTGCACACAGACTCGTTGTGCGTGACAATTTCTTTTCGTGAAATTTGTTCCGAAATTTTACACTTTTTAGGTAAAAAATAATTATATTTAATTACAAATTGCTTAATGGTGGCAGGCAATCATCTGACCCATAGGTGGCAGCCATCTCAAGCCAGAGGAGGAGAGGACTCTAGCCGCCCATTTCAAAGACCAATGTGGGCTGGGTTGTGGCCCATTGAACACGCATATAAAGGATTTATAGTGAAAAACTTTGTTTTTACGGGTTAATTTTTCTCGAGCCCGATAGACCGAGTCGATTTAAACAAGGGCACGGCGCCACCTGGTAAATGATCATAAAAGCACGTGTATTTGTTGTAAGCTAAGCAGAGAATATTATTAGCCTGCTAGATCGTGCTTGGATGGCAATGCAAACCGGTATTGCAGACTGCAATGTCGTCTGACATACGTTATGGCCATCACAGGACTGAGCAGCAAAATTAATTATTGTATTTATATACAGGACTGTAACTTCTATGTTGTTGGGTCTACTACTCGCAATGACCAGCGTGGTGAAGTATGTCCGGACAACTCTCATGACCGGGTAGCGTGGATTGGCAGTGGAGTTTTTGGTGTCTTTAACAGTTGAATTACACTTGCAAATGTTCCACACTTCATGGCAAACTGAATCAAAATTTTCCCTTCAACTGCTAATGATTGACAATAAATTTGACATTCATTGTATCACACAAATAAACTTTTATCAAAATAAATAATTTGTAAAGCAACTGATTATGCATAAAAATATTAAAGGAGCGCCCCACGGTTTTACGTTTTAGTTACAAGTGTCGAAAAATATTCTGATCAGCTGATGACGGCTGAAAAAAAAAGAAAATTTGACTTTTGGGTGCATTTTTAAATAAAACCGTTGATTAAAAAATCTATTTAAGGAGTTGTTTTCCCGTACGTTTCCCCAATGTGGCATATAAATGGGAAACTCTATCGCGAATGACCTTTTGTCCATCACCACATAAAGCCCGTACACAGAACACGCAATCTTCTGCACGTGGAATTGGTGAAAGAGCCCCCCAGCGATTCGCAGTGCAGCTGATCGTGCACGCCTTGTTGTGTCCCACACTTATTGTGTCCCACACAACAAGGCGATGGGCAGCTTCAGTTTCATCTATTAGGTACAGCCCTGTGAGCCATTCGGCTCTTGAATCGGGTGCCACCGCAACAAACAAAAGCATGAAAACATCTTAAAGTGATTGGTGTGGCCCAATCGGTTTCGAGGCCAATGCCAATATTATCAGTGTGTTTGTTTGCATTTGACTGCAAGTATCGTGGTTAATGCAGACACGAATCCTTGTAAAAAAAGGTTTCAGTTTTGTTGCCATAAAAAAGGGGAAAACCCCTATGATACTCTTAGGTTTTTTCGGTAAAGTCACGTAGGAAATAATAAATAATAACATTTATAGAAATAATTATAGAAATAAAATAAAAAATCATTATTATTTCTATTATTTGTTTAAATTTCTTTTTTTTTTTACCTAAGAGTATGAATCCTTGCAGTCACGAAAGCTTCAAATCTAAAACCCCCCTATTATTATTATCATCATTATCATCCTAAAGTGACTTTACACAAACAGAAAAATCCAGGACAAAATCCAGGACAGGGCCTCCACCTCAAGCCTGAATTGGGGGGGCCCTGCAAGTACCAATGACGACGAGCTCAGGGGGGGGAGGAGTGTGAGGAAAACCAGAGGCTTGGCTCGTACCTGTCCCTCGCCAAGGAAGTCGATCTTGTCGTAGCGCTTCGCTCGACTCTTCGCCGCCGCTGCCATTGCCGCAGAACCATTTAAAGCCGCCGCCGCCGTCGCCGCCGCCATCGCTCCCTCGGATTCCCTACAGCGGATGGTGGCGCCGCGATGCAACGCCGCTTCCTATTGGCCCCGAGCCGCCGCGTCGACCAATGGGAGGCGCCGAGACGGAGCGGTTGGCTAATCCGCGTTAGGGAATGTGAGAGGGGGTGGTGGGGGGGGCTTGGGGGGTGGTGGGGGGGGGTTGGGTAGGGGGGGTTTGGGGGTTGGTGAGGGGGGGGCTTTGGGGGGTGGGGGGGGGTTTGGGGGTTGGTGAGGGGGGGGCTTGGGGGGTGGGGGGGGGTTTGGGGGTTGGTGAGGGGGGGGGCTTGGGGGGTGGGGGGGGTTTGGGGGGTGGTGTGGGAAGGGGGTTGGGGGTGGGGGGGGTTTGGGGGGTGGTGAGGGGGGGGCTTGGGGGGTGGGGGGGGGCTTGGGGGGGTGGGGGGTGGGGGGGGTTTGGGGGTTGGTGAGGGGGGGCTTGGGGGGTGGGGGGGTTTGGGGGGTGGTGTGGGGAGGGGGTTGGGGGGTGGGGGGGGCTTGGGGGGTGGGGGGGGGCTTGGGGGGCTTGGGGGGTGGGGGGGGTTTGGGGGGGGAGTCCCAAACACGTGGTCGGCCGTTGGGCACCTGTATTGTGGCCAAGTTTATGACAATTATTAAACATCGCGACCGTGCATTTAAATATTAAAGGGTGGCGATTTAACCCTGACGAGAAAACGAAGACACGCCCAGATGCGGCCCACTTGAATTGGCCTCTTTAAAGCGTTAACAAACGCGAGCTGGCTTGTGGACAATCCGAGGTCGTTAGATTGCCATGTCAACAGGACGCCATGACCCGGCTCCCCAACGGCCCGTTGCAATCCATTTAAGGGGCCGTCCATAAATGACGTCACGGGATTTTGGCCGGTTTTTGACCCTCCCCCCCTCGTCACACGGCGTCACAAAAAGCCAGACCCCCCCCCCTCAGATATGACGTCACAAAGCTCTGCCCCCCCCCCCCCAAAAAATAAAACACGCTTAAAATCGCTTTAAACTATTGTCATTGTAGTGCGTATTTAATGTGGCGATGCACTCTGATGTTGTAGGAGAAAACATTTATTAAAAAGTCTATTTAATTAAGTAGAACGTGTTTTCTATATTTATTTAAAGTTGCGCATTTTGATGTGACGTCACATTTCTCAACCCCCCCCTCCCCCCCTCGTCACACATCGTCACAAATGTCTTTACCCACCTCCCCCCCCCCCCAAGGTGCGTGACGTCATTTATGGACGGCCCCTGAGATGATGCCAGTGCTGCCCTCACGACAAACCATCTTCATGGAATGGGGTTACTAAAGGCCGTGGCACTCTGGTTGACCCCGGAGGACACGTGACTGGTAAAGTCTACACAGGGGCCCCAAGTGGGGGCTTGGGGTGGTCACGTGTCAAAGCGAGATCCTGCTCGAGGATTCGAGGTGGTCGTGGCCAAGGGCGGAGCCAGCCACGACCAGTGAGGATGTAAGCCGGGTCCCAAGAGGGACCGGGGTTCAGCGTTGCTGCTCTCATCTGAGGAATCTACATTCGATGTCCATGAAGAGTCATCAACACGTGGACCTGGACCCAAGCTGGGGTCCCTGTCTGTTGTAGCTACTCCCAGCGTATTAGTGTAGTTAGCCTGGTGGTCCACCACCATAGGTTATCTGGTGAAGGGGCAGTTACCCCTTTGTGTTGGTATCAATAAATGTGTTGCCTCCAAAGAGCGCGTCTGCGACTCAGTTGAACTCACTACACTTGCAACAATAGAGAAGTTGCAACAACACCACCACAAGAAATGTGCCTCCGGGCTCTGGAGACCACCTGGAGAAGATTCGAGGCGTGTGATGACAATAATGGCGAACAAGTGAATACTCCCGAGGTTTTGAAGCTATTAACAAACATTTGTTATGTTAGTATATTATCCGTTGTTTCCATTAAAAATGATAGTCCCATAATAAGTGTAAAAATGTTTTTAACCACTCTGTACATCTTCTTGGTTCTTTCGGTAAAGTCACGTAGAAGGGAAGTAATAAAATAATAAAAATAAAACATAATAAAATAATTCTCACGACGTTTCGGCTACAACGCAAGCAGCCGTCTTCAGGTATTTTATTTTTATTATTTTATTACTTCCCTTCTACGTGACTTTACCGAAAGAACCAAGAAGATGGATCCCTGCAGTCACGAAAGCTTTAAATCGAAGTTTAACCACTCTGTACATACCAACTCGCAGGGGTGTGGGAGGTGTGCATACCCACACTTTAACCCACCACCATCATACAAGACCTGTTGTTTGTGGTGTACCGCATTCATAACTGCTAGGTGCACATGAGACTTTAATACTGGTAGGAACCTCCTGGTTACACCAGCCCACAGGGGATTAGTGTGTCCATCCGTCGTGCATACAAAAATGGGAGGGGTGGGGCTGGGTGGGCTGTGGGGCTGATCACCCCGTGGTGCCCTTATAAAACTCAACGTTTAACCTACTCACGCCGGCTTGTGCCCGCCCTCACAGTCAGCCATATTTGCGGAATACACCACGCCACCGTTGACCCTGGCCATTGACCGAGCAACCCAACGTTCCTACCAGCTCCCTCCGTAGGAATGTGTTATATTTGAGAAACTTTCGCCGTTTCTAACTACCACACCAAAAGATGAAATGGAACCAGCGACCTCTACCTTGTAAGTCCAAGGTGCTAACCATTACACAACGGGCAGCTCCCAAGTATGAGTAAAGTATACGATGCTATTTAGAGTATTGACGTTTTTATTAAAAAAATAAGTTATCACAAGTTGGGTGTCTTTTATATTTACTATCAATTGTAAAAGTTTTTACGCAAGACATCTGTCAAAGGGAGTCTTGAAAACTATAAAGTTAAAACATACATCATACTGTACGGTGTAATATGGCATTGCCTTAATTGCCTGGTAATTGTTTATTTATATCTGCGGATTAAAATGTTTTATAGCATTACAATGTAAAACTTAAACTTGAAATAAAACACAACTCTGCTCATTTTAAAACAAGGAATCTCTCAAATTGACAGTATTTACATTTGCAATCAGCACTGTCCAATATATTATTACAAAATAAAACAAATGCTCCTTTTTCTGAATATATTGTGCAGTATTTAGACGTTCATGTTTTATTAAACAAGATATCGAGACATGAAAAAAAACTACTGGAAATTTTGACAATCATACCTCAGACAGCTGACGTCACTTTCTGCACACAAAAGTAATACGAGCATAACCCTACCAATTCAATGCTGCTGAATGCTATATAAAATATGTACAAACAATGCACCATTGATTAATGTACAATACAAAATGTTAACCGAAAACAACTTTCCAAGTCTAAGAATATCAGAAAATAAAGCCTGCATATAATGTCGATCTGATATAAAGAGCAGAATTTAAATAGAACAATCATGAGAGAATCACTTTTATTTCGGCAGAAAGTTATAAGGTGTGCAATGCCTCATCCAGTCATTATTGTGGGCCGACAGCTTCCTCTTGACCCAAGAACAGCGTAACAGTGTCTTGCTGCACGCGCTGGAATCGCTGGGTGCCAACGAGACCTTCCACTGTCAACGTTATGCGATTAGCTCGCCAGCAGAATGTTGTCAATATTCTTGCAGTCTTCCAGCAACGTCGATGCCTGCAGGAAACAAAACATTTATCAGAGATGTAGCAGCCTCTCCCTGTACAAGAGCAGCTCGATTTTAGCAAGCCTAACACAAGGTTCTTATATGAGAAACAGAACCTTGCATTACCCTGGTGGTGGAAGCAAAGGATAACTTATAATGCAAGTACACTACTTTGCAAGTAAGGACAGCTGGACTTGCTTCCAAGGAGTACGATTATGTCAAGCTCCTACTCCCCTGTATTTACACATTTAAAATACTGAGTAGAAATAAAAACAGCGCGCATGCAGTGATGCGCTTACACAGTGCTAAGCGTATAACCAAATTGTAAGTCAAGAGCATTTGAAGATTCCGAAACATTACTTATTTACAAACATGTCTTATTTACAATCAATTAGCTAAAGCCTGTAACCAAACCACACGGCACGTACCCGATTTCGTGAGATCTCAGAAACTTAAGCAGCCCTGGAGGCTGGATAGTGCTTGGTCAATCACCTTTTATAAAACAAGTGACTGCATGCATATGCGGTGGGCAGCGGGGTACGGTGGAGCCAATTTAAAAAGTTGTACTGAACTATGTTCCCACATATAATATGCTCTCCACCTTTATCAGCCTGTACTAACCAGCTTGGTACAGTATGGTAACAAAAACACAACCTGCATGATATTGGCAGCCCCCCCCCCCCCATCCAGTGGATTGATAAAAGAGCTGCACATGTACACTACTGTCTGAAACCTGGCTAATTTGTGAAAAAGAGATTAGACAAAAATGAAAGGATAACACATGACAACACGACCGCGTACACACTAGAATGTGAAAGAAAGCCTCACCTTCCTGAATTCTTCCTTTATCTTGTCAAACCGACATTTCTCATACACGGCCCTGGCAGTGTTGCTCTGGTCAAAAGGTTCTGAGAAAACATTAAAATTATTCAGGAGAGAATAACATTTTACCTTGAGTATAAAGTAAAAAAAAAAACATTTGTCAATAAGTAATGCATATGTCAATAATGGCAGATTTGAAATCTTTATTTCGTTTATATTATTTGCAACTCTATGAACATTTCCAAAACAAGTTTTTTTAATGATATTGAACTAAATTATAGATTCCACCAGGTGTCGTGAGGGTTGTTGCCATCTTATTAGATGGGAAGGCCTTTATCGAGCAGGGGACTGATCATAGCTTTTGTTGATGACGATTAATGTTTAACTATTGAAGCCGATTGACAGATCACCAAACATTCAATATTCTCGACACGTACATTAATGTCTGCATATAAGCTTGGATTCAGAAACAAAACAGAGGGATATGAACAGTTACAGCAATCCACCTTCAATGCAAATGTACTTGTTTCTCCACTCATCATCCAGGGTCCTGTTGATGATTCTGCCTTCCCTCAGAGAAATGATCGAGTGGTCCCAACTGTACACACACACACACAGCAGTCAATTTAAGTCCACATGCTAACACAAACAACTTGAGAACGACTTCTGTTAAAAAAATGTGACTCAAAACATTTCCTTGCGAGAAGTGCATATGTGCTCTTTGGTTTTTTCGGTAAAGTCACATAGGTGAAAAAAGATATATATAAAAATATAAATAACTAAATTTAATCACGACGTTTGAAATGCAACACAAGCAATCATCATCAGGTGTGGAAATCGCAGCTAGAATTTTTTTTCCCACTTTAGTAAAAAATTTATAGCTGTGATTTCCACACCTGATGATGATTGCTTGTGTTGCAATCGAAACGTCGTGATTTAATTTAGTTATTTATATTTATAATTTAATTTTTTCTTTTATTCTTATCTTAAAATGTTATTTTATTATTTTTTCACCTACGTGACTTTACCGAAAGAACCAAAAAGTATGGATCCTTGCAGTAACAAAAGCTTAAAATCTACAAGTGCATTTGTGACAACTTATTAAGTAATACAATTTAAAAGTACCTTTCCTGCAGTTCAAAACTACGCAACTATGAAAATACATTGTTCAAATAAAACACGTCAAAATTGTAACAACTATTTTATAGAGCAGATGTAATTTTCATAACATCCATCAATGTAAGAATATATGCTGAAGAGGAAGCTGCAATTTGCTCACTCAAACGTGGTGGTGTAGTACTTGAAGAAGCCAAGCAGGAGCTCGCCCAGGGTGAGTTTGCTTTGTGAAGTGAAGGTCGGCACGCTGTTGGCACTGATTGGGATCTGCCAGATTTGGAGCCTCGAGTTGAAGAGGCCCTAGAGAAATAACATCGCAAACGACGCCGTGTTACAATATGCGTGCTTTGCTAAAATGCGCGCAAAACTGAGCAGATGGGGAGCAAGGGGGGATAATGTGAAGGCATCCAACAAACTTGAGTGCTTTTCATTTTAGCCACGATTGCACTTTATCTCATGCAAATAAACAAGCGGTGTATTTCACTGTATAGGTATATATACAAAAACATTTTGGACAAACGTTACAAGGGTGAGAATACATCTCGGAAGATGAATCTGATCGTTGAGAATAAATGATGTCATGGACTGGAGGATACTAAAACAAGAAGCTTGTATTGTTGCATATCCTACCGGGTATTCTTTTTGCAGACAGGGCACTACTGGCTCTGGAAGAGCTGTAAAATGTATACAAAAAGTTGATTAAATAGCTTTCTTCAAAATCAGTGATAGCCCAGCAAATCGACAGTGTCCCCTGCAGTGCTCCATGCTAAAATACTCAGTGTTGTATCTTAAGTGGTTCTCTCTAAACAATTTTTATTTTATTTTACCAGGTATGGCCCACTGAGCTCATTTTCAGAAGCGACCTGGCCACAAATGATAGCTCAATAAAATGGCTTATCATGTGGAAATTAATAGCAGCCAAATACTATAAAAGCATGTTTCAAAATGTGGAGGGAAAAACCAGAGGACCCGGAACAAAAATCCACAGATCACGGGGAGAACGTGCACACTCCAAATATACAGGTATCAGGGTCGAGATTGAACCCAGAACCTCCTGTATACCTGGCGAGGTAGTTAACATCTCGCCACCGTGGCGCAATATAGTTGTCATATAGATTCAGCATTTCAGCCGTTGTCAAGTTGCCAATGCAGTTACACAGCTCACAAGACAGCAAAAAACCTGTGCACTGCTCACGGTAAACATGCTCATCTCCATGCTCATGCACAATTAAAAACTAAAAAGCTCAAAAACATGGAACGGATTTAATAGTTTTCATAAAAACACATTTCCCCCACATTTATTTTCTTCAATGCTTTTAAAGTGACACTGAAAAGGAATGATCGTTTATTTCAACAGCGAACCACATCAGCTGGCAATGAGAGTGCTTGCAGCTTGCAACGACTCGTACATTGCTTGTGTGGGACGTCATGCGACCTCCCCCACTGCAGCCTAAGAAGCGATTAGAGTGTGAAGATGCACACATCACATCTGGATCCAACGAACTTAACCGCACTTGGGGAGTTGTTGCCAACATCACAGCTGTTATGCAGCCTCACTTGACAATTTTTACGGCTTCGTTAGACTTTCACTTGGTCGCAGAAATAAAAAATTAACCCGTAAAAACAAAGTTTTTCACTCTAAATCCTTTATATGCGTGGCGGCTAGAGTCCACTCGTCCTCTGGCTTGAGATGGCTGCCACCTATGGGTCAGATGATTGTCAGCCAGTATTAAGCAATTGGTAATTAAATATTTAATTTGTTTTCCCTAAACAGTGTAAAATTTTGGAAAAAAATTTTCACGAAAATAAATTGTCACGCACAACGAGTCTGTGTGCAAAATGTCAGCTCCATTGGATCACGGGAAGTGGGTTAAAAAACGACCGAAAGATTTGCACGGTCGTAAGCGCGCAAGCAAGCAAGCGAACTTAATATAAAGGATTTAAAAAGCGCTTACTCTGTAGGAAGTGCAGCACCATAAGTACAAGGCTGTAGCTGCTCAGGGTGCCCTGGCTGGCGTCGTTGATGCCCCTCTGCAATGCCCATTGCTTGATGACCAGGATTAGCGGCTTCACTCGCTGGTCGACTGCAGCGTCAAGCAAAACACAAGGCGAGAATTAAAGGTCTACCGGGCAACTCTGTATACAAACAGCTTACATGAATGCTCTGCACAATGTTAATTAATCAATTGTACATGAGGCTTACCTTTCGAATAAGCCTGAAGCAAGAATGTGTTTCTGATTCCAATAATGTTGTTGGCATTGAGGTCAAACTCCACCCTACTTCAGGTGCAAGAAATAACAAAAAAAAGATTAAGTTTTCACAGAACTGATAATATGTCAAAATAAATACTAGAAATTTGGGAGGAAGTTAGAAACTAACCTTGTCTTGTCCCTGAACTTCACAATTGGAACCTTTGCACGGATCAGTTGCATTTTTTCCATATACGCTGTGAATAGAACACAACAGATTACGGCTCTTTAAATGCTGAAAACATTACATTAGAATCTGCTCACATTGCAAGTCCGGAAAGGCCACATGTGGAAGTGTTAATACGGGTGAACTTGCTACTTTAGCTTAGTGTGCATAGGGACTTTTTTTACCACCCTTCTGTCCAAGCCAGCTGTTCCCCAAAATGGACAACAATGGATATGAATGAATTGAAGTTAAAGATTAATTGAAGGAGTTTCTGAATAGAGTGAATATCAATAGCCTTGGAAAGGTGGATGGGTTCCATTTTTAAATCCTTTATATTAAGTTCGCTTGCTTGCGTGCTTGCTTGCTTGCTTACGACCGTGCAAACCTTTCGGTCGTTTTTTAACCCACTTCCCGTGATCCAATCGAGCTGACATTTTGCACACAGACTCGTTGTGCGAGACAATTAATGTTCGTGAAAAATTTTTTCCAAAATTTTACACTGTTTAGGGAAAACAAATAAAAAATGTAATTACCAATTGTTTAATACTGCAGACAATCATCTGACCCATAGGTGGCAGCCATCTCAAGCCAGAGGACGAGAGGACTCTAGCCGCCACGCATATAAAGGATTTAGAGTGAAAACCTTTGTTTTTACGGGTTATACTTATTAATTATGAGACACCTCTTCCCACGCACTATACACACACTGTCATTTACCCTGCATTCAGGTACAGCTATAAGTCCACGACTGATGTAGGCATCGACACATATGCCTCTTGTTACTGGAACTCTCACGGCACAAACCACAGGATGGACACTTACGCAGCCTCCACATGATTCTTAGCACTTGCTGGAGGAGGTGCAGAGCTTCTGTTCGTTGGTTTATCTGCCATGTGCACAGAAACATATTGTTGATGTAAGCATTGCTTATTTGAATTGTGAAGTTTTATGTACAGTCAATTCTCAATGAGAGGCCAGATAAATTAAAAAAACATGGATATTACAAAAATTATGCACGTTAGTTTATAAACATATTTATTGCTTATCTAGTGACTGTGAATGTCACTAGGCCTTGGCAAGGTAAAGTAAAAGTTAAAAACAACGAGCCTACCTTTACCCTACCTTTTACCTTACCACAATACAATCATTCAACCCTTACCTTTTACCCTTTAGCAGGTAAGGTAACAGGTAAAAAAGCAACGTGCCTACCTTTACCCTACCTTTTACCCTTACCCCATACAAATAACCAGATTACAGGGTAATTACTGTGGTACTACTACACATGATAAAGGTTTATAACGGTAAATGCTATAGGTAGAGTGCTTTATTCATATAGAATACTCCGATGATTCCAATTTTACACGCTTTCTTTTAACTCACTCTGTTGTTGTCGTTATTGTTGTTGTTGTATCCTCAAATCTTGTAACTCAATTTTAACCCACTTCCTAATGTGGTATCGACTGCAAACTTGGTATACTTATGTCATACTGATGACTATACTATATGACTGTATATCATAAAAAAAAAATATATTTTTTAACATTCTTTTGTATATGTTATGTTTCGGCTTGGGTCTAATTGTCCACGCTCAACTAACGTTGGCTGTAAATCACCACGGTTCCTTACGTTATGGCAAGCTTCAGGGCCACTTCCTGGAGTCGTGGAGTTCTGCCATTACTAGTAACATTTAATAAAAGCGGGTTTTTAATGAAGTTTTTTCAAATATTACTTATTAAATGGAGGCCACGGACTGCGCCACGGAGCTTTTAGCGGTAAACAAGGTACCGTGTTTACCGGGTAATACTTCGCGCTATCTTTACCCTACCGGGTAATTCTTCCGAGCTACCTTTACCCTACCTTTTATCTTACCCCTTGGCATATCGACACCTTTACCTTTACCTTTACCCTTTTACCCAGTAAAAAAAGGGTCAATTACCTTACCTTGCCGAGGCCTAAATGTCACTGTGTGGTGCCGGGCTTACGAAGCCACGGCGGATAATGTGTTGGCATTACGTGCAGCCCGCTTACTGGGCGTAGTACCAGCCCTAGCGGGGCTTGGGTGAGTGCTGGTCAGCGCGGAGGCACCACGTACAGTGTGCGGTGCGGGCTCCCGGTGAGGGAGCGAGAGGGAGTGTCAGCCAGCCAGGGTTACATTGGGGCATGTTACGCTGGTTGACCTGCCGACACTTGACCGGATGATATTGGAGGGGGGTCACCGGGCGGTCACGTGGTATAAAAGAGCTCTTGGTAGCCTTCGGGAAAGAGCTCGAGAGATCTAGAAGGTGGGCGGGGCGGGGGGCGGAGCCAGCCCTAGCCCAGGCCGATATAACAGGGGCCCCGTGAGGGGCTCGGGGTTCTTTGGGTTGCTGGTCAAGAAGATCCACGTCGGGTTAAAGAAGCCTCTAGCCACGCGGTCCGGGACCCAACTCGTGGTCCGGGCCGGGATCGCGAACCGTGTCTAGTTCTGCCGTAGCGTGGCGAGATGGCCATTCAACACCCAAGTGTAGGTTGTGTTATGTTATGTTGAGTTGGTGAAATAAATAGTGTTGCTCCCAAGACAACGTCTGCAACTCAGTTGGACTCACTACATTTACTTATATTGAATTGGAGAGCAAGGATATGAGTCGCCTGTTTCGAATGTATCTTGGAGTAACTGGTCACAAGTGAGCAGCGAATAACTAGAACGTGTAAATTGCGTAAATGAGCGTGTAATTTTTCTATTTCATTATTTCCCCCCCTCTTGTCCCAAACAAGGCTAATCCACAATCCAGATAGTCCACACGCCAGATAATTCAGCGTTAACTATATGGTTCTCTCAAATTAATTGGTCGATAAATGTAGCAGTTGTCCCAAACATATATACACACACACACAGGCTGTGGGATGAACTCCGGAAACTATTCCAGTTGCTGCGTCTCACCTGTTGTTCTCGGAGCACGAGGCAGAGGTCCCCATCACTGGTTCTGCTCCCAAAACCATTGACTGTGGACCCCACTAAGAAGATATTGCAATCTGTGTGAAATATGAAATAACAGCATGCAGTTTTGTTGCATCGTGCTCTGAACACAAAATAATGAATGCACGGTTTAACACGTACGCTTTCGCTACCAATATCATCCATAATAGAGGTTTTTGGATTAGATTGCGTAAATTTATAAATGTGTCGTTAAAACCCGCCACCACCCGACACAGCCAACTAGTAAGGGTTGTCACGTAAACAGAACGTGCCAATTCGTCACTAGTACAGCACTAGTGTGTAGTGTATAGCAGTGTATAGTGTAGTGTACTAGTACAGCATACCAGTGTGTTGGAGAGCCAAGCCACAACATTGACATTTCACTAGTAATTACAATGATGAAGCTAGTTGTAATTACTGACGAAATGTCGTACTCAGATTGTAAATGTTGTGGCTTGGCTCTCCAACACACCGGTGTGCTGTACGAGTGACGAATTGGCCACGTTTTGTTTACGTGACAACCCTTACTAGTTGGCTGTGTCGGGTGGTGGCGGGTTTTAACGACACATTTATATATTTACGCGATCTAACCCAAAAACCTCTATTATGAATGAATACAGTTTATAAATTTGATACCTTTTAACAGTTCGTTTAACAAAACATACACCGATAAAGTACATTCGATAAAGTGTGGTCCTCCCGTGCTAGGCCTCATGTCGAGCATATCTTCTCTCAAGCTTTCGCCACACATTACTGTGGGAATCTTCAACTCCAAAGATCTTAAATTTCGATTTAAAGTTTTCCTGACTGCAGGGATTCATCTTCTTGGTTCTTTCGGTAAAGTCACGTAGAATGGAAATAATAAAAAAAAATAAAACATAATCAAATAATTCTCACGACGTTTCGGCCACAACGCAAGCAGCCGTCCTCAGGTGAAAAACAGGTCTGTCGAGAAGACAGAGTCTGAAGACAGAGTCTGTCTTCTTCATCTGAGGATGGCTGCTTGCGTTGTGGCCGAAACGTCGTGAGAATTATTTTATTTTTAATATTATTTTATTATTTCCAAAGATCTTCAATTCTAAAGATACCCGCATTAGTGCGTGGCGAAAGCTCGTCAGAAGAAATTCCTACAAGCGACCTAACTGAGGAAACCACAAATGGATTACGGAGTGGCTGTTAAAACCGGTGTGCTAAAAATGGTACATTAGTGGAACATTTTCCAAGTAAAGACGGACTATGCTTAAGGAAAGAACTTTGTGAAATCGGCACGTTTACTTACAGGGGAACAATTTCCGAACCTCACACTGCAAGCTCTCCCGCAGCTGGTCCTTCTGCTGGAAGAGCCTTGCCTGCTGTTGGCAGTTTTGGTGCAGGTCTAGGATTTGCTGGCTTAGCTGAAAACAAGACAAAACAAGATTTAGAAAACACCATTAATTTACAGGAAAATTTAATTTTATGTCTGTTCACAAGCTCAGACAGAATGGGAGAGTGATTTTAAGCTTTGAGATGACCAACTCTATTTTAGCACACCAATGCGACGGACTGTTTTGGCATTAACACTGCAAAACTATTATTCCTCGGCCGAGAAAAAGCCATTATCACTGCCTATTCATCTCCGCTGCGGAAGTTCCATGCCGCCGACTGGGTGGCCTTGCTCACCTTGTCAGGCACGCTCCGGGTAGACGTTTCGCTGGACGCCTTGAGATGTAGGAGAGCGGGTGAGACAGGGGGCAAGGGCAGGACCTGCTTGGCAAGGTCGTTTGCGGAGGTGTGCGCACTGTTTGTGGGCTGGACACACGGCTTCTTCCCCTCAAAGTTGGTCGAATCATCGTGAACACGCCTGCACACAGGTAATAATTTTCATATAAATACAGAAAAATTTACATGACAGCTCTGCGGTATGTATTCCAGGTTGTACAGCGAGTTATATGGCTACGGTGTCTAATGTTTCGCTCCACGTGTTGGAATCTTCTTCGGGAACTGTATTTGCGCTGAAGAAGCTCCCGGCAATGTGCAGCGAAACGTCAAAGACATCAACCAGGAAACATAGTGGCCAGCGATACAGTACAACCGGGAAAATATATGCAGCAAGGTAGGGGGGGCTCCTCCCCCCCCTCTTACTCTATATAGTCGCGTTTCTCTATTAGCTCTCTTCACTTACTACAGTGATTTTGGCTTTGGTTCCACCTGAAGACGGAAGTTTATGTTGCGTCCGAAACGTCGTGATTTAATTTAGTTGTTTTTCATTTATTTATTTTTTACCTACGTGACTTTACCGAAAAAACCAAAGAGTATGAATCCTTGCAGTCACGAAAACTTCAAATCTAAAACATTACATTGTTAGTCATTAATAAAAAGTGCACATACAAAGTCACCGAAAAAATATTATGTTTTGTCTTTACTGGTGTCTCAGTGATGAGTAAATGATACTGCTCTTACTTGCGGTTGATCCTGGGTGACTCCAGAACCGTGGAGCCGTAGAGGGGAGTCGCAGGAAACCTCACAGGGACCATCGCAGTTCTCTGGCCCATGTGCATGTTCCGAACAGCGCTCATGCCAGGCACAGCACGCACACCGTTTAGCGTGCTCACAGCGGCTGCTGACGGTAAGATGCCTGGTGCAGCGCCCACCACTTTGATGAAAGGGCTTCACGAGGAGAAATACAAACATTTAAAATAAGCATCATCATTTCATGTTTTTTTACCGCACCTACCGTGCAGTTGCAGTGCACGCCGAGGTGCCAGAACAAATGGGTATTAGAGATAATAACCAAGGTGATCACTCAGCCAGGAAGTGATTTCAGACCAAATTCAACGTGATAAAACAATGCAGTAATTGGACAACATACACAAACAGCGATTGAAATTACTATTCTGGCCACTTCATCTAAAATATCTACATGCGTTTTGAAAATGTCTTTAATTTATTTTAAAATGTTGTAATTTACAACAGAGATAATGTGCCACAGCATAAGACGAAGTGTTGTTTTTTAACGAAACAATCAGAACAAGCAGAAACACACTTCTGACATGAATTACACTTTCGTAATTCAAGCCACCTCAACAAGCTTGCCTACACGTGGTTGTACCTGGGATTGCCGGTCCCATTGGGGAAGATGTGGTTCTGGGGATGAGCTCTGTCATTGTAATTGATGTTGTTGTAGATAAATCTTGTGGCTGGGCGCTGCAAGAGGTGGTTGCCTGGCTGCGTGCTGGATGAGAACCTCTGATTGTGAGGGTTGTTGAGAGGTGTGGGATACATCGCTTTTCTCCCCTTCACCGGAGCCCAACAGCATTAGCAACTGTGAAAGTACAAAGTAACAAGACAGCACTGTGAGAGATGTGGACGCTCAGGCGTCGGGTCAATCCACTGCTGGATGAGACCCCCCCCCCCACGCTCAGTGCACGTGAGAGCATTGCGGGACAGCAATGGATTCGTTTTGCTGCAGTGGCATCTGCTGACCACAAAGCAGTCCCGCAGGCTATAACACATTATCAAAGCTGATCTCCCATCCAAGTACTATATATGCTCAAATTCCTGCTTAGCTTCCGAGGTGTGAAACGTTCAGACGCATTTCGGGCGATATGTCTGTTTAGGGTAAAAAGCCAATGTCTTTGTTCAAGACATTAACCCTTTCATAAGCCGATGTCCGTTACCAAATGCCAATGAAACGTTTCATAATTGGGAGCACAATGTTTCAAAACCGGTGGCGAGTTGAACTTATTAACACTTCCAGCTATGTAAATTGTTGACCACGACTGTACATGTTAATGACTTATACAGGTGTGGAGGCATCGGGAGGGGTAAACCCCCATCGGCTGTCCCCAACTCACTCGCTATTGTAAACTTTCAATCACATTTCTTATGATCACTGTTACATTGTTTTTATAGCATTATTTTAGTAATTTCTATAAAGGTTTAGTTTAGCCCGATTTTTTGATGTAGTATAGAGTTATACTTAAAATCTTAATCTATATTGTATTATGATTGTTATTGTGATCTAACATCAAAATGGGATTTTTTTGCACATTTTTGTACGCAACATAAACAAATGGTGCTTTTTCACTGGAAGATTTTATTGTTTTTGTAGGGGACGTTTCAATTTGCGTACAGTCAATTTTAAAATGTATCTTGTCATTTTATTGTTTGCGGCGGTTGCACCCGAATCAAGAGCCGAATGGCTCACAGGGTTATTCCAAATAAATGAAACTGAAACACCTTCCTCTCTCGTATGTTGAACTTCGCCAACACGAGAACAGCCACGGCGAGACGTAATGGTTAAGACAAAGATCCCCCATATAGCCTTAGCAGACTGTAGGGGCAAGTGCTGTTAGATCACACACACACACGTTACATGACCGGTCTAAATCAAGACACAGATCATCGTAAACGCCAAATACATGTTGAGGAAGAGAAGAAATTATCCTGATGGCGGTACCCCGGGGTACCAAATAACACAAAATGGCTGAGGCAATTAAATATTTTGTTTATAGATTCGAAGCTTTCGTAACTGCAGGAATTACTCTTTGGTTCTTTCGGTAGAGTCACGTGGAAAATAAAATAAAAATATAATACGACGTTTCGGTTGCAACACAAGCAACCATAAATTTGTATTTAAAGCTTTCGTGACTGCAGGGATCCATATTCTTGGTTCTTTCGGTAAAGTCACGTATTTTTTTTCCCTTCTACGTGACTTTACCGAAAGAACCAAGAATACAAGCAACCATCTTCTGTTCATCTTGGTGTGTGTCTCGCTCTGTGTCTGTGTCTCTCTCTGCATGTGTCTGCCTATACGCTGTTCCCGTCTGTGTTTAATCATTCATTCTTACCTGATGATGGTTACTTGTGTTGCAACCGAAACGTCGTATTCTATTATTTTATTTTATTTCTGGGACACTATTTTTTTCCAGGGGTGTTACTGAACTCCGTGACTGGGGAACCAATCAATCCCAAATCGCTGCCATTCCGCGATGTCGAAACGCAGCGAAACCTGAACGCTCGCGGTACGCAGCGTAGTGGTGGTGCATCATCGTAGTGTACAGCTCGTCGACTAAAAAATACCTTCTTCACGGACATTATGCGAGAGCCACAAGGTTTCAAATGTTAAATTTGACGGAGATGCGATAATGAAGTTGGAATACAAAGCTCACTCACGCTCTGCACATCGATTCCGAAAGTGAGAATCTGACAGCAACATAACTGAAGACGTCACAGCAAGCATTGAAAACACGGAAGCAGAACTTGTTGGTGAGGATATTCGCTTGATTGCAAGATGCTGAATGTGATGATGACAATAACGGGGTTGAATGAGGCTCTTCTTCACTCAGTGTCCACCTCACTACCGCCGGCATCTCTAACTTCACCTCGCTCTCGCCACAAGAGACGAAGCCACAAGTCAGTCAGTCGTTGTTGACGATTATCAACAAGTAGGTGGCGAGGAAGAGAGAGAGACGCGTTCACGTTTCACAAAGAAACACTGACGATGACGACAAAGTGGTCATTACAAACGCCAGCGCTTCGCGGTTTCACACTTACACGGCCGCACTCGTTACACACAAACGCGCCACAATACATCTCTGCTGATATGGTCAAGGAGCACACACACACACACCATCAAACAAACTCCGATCATCCTCACTGCAGCGGCTTTTGGCGATGTCCATCGAACACCGCGCGCTTTCAGATGCGCTTCCGCGGTCGTCTGGAACGCTCTCTTCCGATATTTGTACATCGCTATGCACTTTTTTACATCCGGATTGAAAACTCAATTGTCTATAACTGCCCTTTGGTGTTTAGATTGTCGTCCTTCCCCCGCACCTCCCATTAGCGCGGCTACGGCTACGTACGGCGCGCAAGAAGTTCACGTGTACACGCACTGTACTCACTCGCACTGTACTCACCGCTCCGCTCTCTCTCGCCTCAGGACGCGAGGCGGCTCCAGTCAGCCCTCGCTTGCGACAAGCAGCAAGCAGACGCCGTAGACAACGGGCAGCTCCACGCTCATGGCTTTGTAAATCCACGCAAAGCGAACGCTGAGCGACGACGAGGGGCTGGGAGAAGGCGCCGCCTCAGACAAGGCCTCAGGCTCGGATTGCGCCTTCCGTTTTCGTCTCTCGGCACAGCGAGGCGGCTCCTCCTGTTGAGTTTGTTTGTTTGTTAAATTCGCTCTGGCCGCACAACGACAACAACAAACAGCCCCCACGAAAGCCGCAACGAGCGCGTTATCGCCAGCGACAGTCAGCACGGGGCTTCGGTGCTGCCGAGTACGCGAATCGGCCGCCACCACTACCAACACTGAAGTTTGTCCGGCAACGGTGACGTCACGGCTCCGCAATGACGTGTAAACAAATGACGACATCGAGCGGTGATGACGTTAGTGCAATGACGTCATTTGACGGGAACGCCGTGACGTCACGCATGACCCATAATGTCATTTTACAGAATCACAATCAGTATTGATTGTATCTTGACTTAAAGCTTTCGTGACTGCTGGAGTTCATATTCTTTGTGTCTTTCGGTAAAGCCAGTAAGATATAAAAAATATAAACAAGTAAACCCGTAAAAACTAAGTTTTCACTATAAATCCTTTATATGCGTGGCATCGGGGCGGCGAGAGTCCTCTCGTCCTCTGGCTTGAGATGGCTGCCACCTATGGGTCAGATGATTGTCTGGCAGCATTAAGCAATTGGTAATTAAATATTTTAAAAAAAATCCCTAAACATTGTAAAATTTTGGAAAAAAAATTTTCACGAAAATGCATTGTCACGCACAACGAGCCTGTGTGCAAAATGTCAGCTCGATTGGATCACGGGAAGTGGGTTAAAAAACGACCGAAAGATTTGCACGGTCGTAAGCGCGCAAGCGAACTTAATATAAAGGATTTAAAAATAATAACAATATCACGACGTTTCGATCGCAACACAAGCAATCGTTATCAGGTGAAACAAGAGGGGGAAATTCTAGATTGGAAGTTTTCGTGAAGAAGGGGAAAGCTGCTGAAGCAGGCTGTTTATAAAGGTTTAGAGATGGGCGGGGCAGCTCATGTTAATGTGATAGCCAATGGGTTTGCAGAGTGCCTTTGTCTTGGCAAGATTTCCAAAATCATGAGCAAACACAAGATCCAGGTACGATTCAACACAGTACATCAAATTCGTGATTTGATCCCACCTGTGAAGGATGTGATCCCTGACATGTAATACCCTGGCGTCTACAAACTAAGCTGTGTCTGCGGCAGCAGTTACATTGGGGAAACTAAGCGACATGTCTCAGACCGTGTTCATGAACACAAGGCAGATCTGAAACACGGTAGGACCAATACCTCGGCCGTGGCTGATCATTATTTCAACGCGGTGGGCACACACGAAATTGATTTTGCCAAGACGAAGATAATCTGCAAACCCACTGGCTATCAAAAAAGATTCGTTCATGAAGCCATCCAGATATGTAAACACAGACACAATTTCAACGGAGAAGATGGGTACAAACTGAGCAATAATTGGAAGGACGTTAGTCACCAGTTTAGGTCATAATTGGCTGTGATGTTCCCTTCCTACCTACAGTAAAACCTTGAATTGCGAGTAACTTGGTCTGCGAGTGTTTAGCAATACGAGCAAATTTTTAAATAAATATTAATTTGATAAACGAGCGAGGTCTTGCAATACGAGTAGTACGTGTATACGCTTTGTCTGCCGAGCGTCACGTGATCACAACTGATAAACGAGTGCTTTGGATTACAAACACGTTTCCGGAACGAATTATGCTCGCAATCCAGAGAAAGAAAACACAAAACACAAAACGCACGCAAGCGCGTGGCCGAACACGCCACCCTCTCAAGCACACCTGGCACCAACAAAAGCCGTGGTTGGTGGCGATTGTCAAGAAAAGTGAATCGGCATTGTGTCTCGGCAAGGGGCCTGACACCAGCTGCGCGGTGACGGTCTTCGTGGTGGTGCACGGTGCCTGACTTGCACGCACTCCGCCAGGACCGCAGGGATTGACTGAGCCGACGGATCAGGTGCGAACGAGATTCATTCATCAGGCGTGAACACATCTTGACAGGTATTCATAATGGTGGGGGTGTGGGGTGATAAGGAGCGGTGGCGCAGTGGTTAGCACGCTCCACTATGAATTTGCAGACGTGAGTTTGATTGTCGTGTCGCGACTACCATCGGTGTCGAGTGATATCCGAACCGGTTATCCGGGATAACGCCCTCTTCACCAAGCCACGTTTGACCATCAATAGTGAAGATTGGTCAAACGACCCCAATGGCAGGATTGGTGTGCGGGTGCCTTCATCCAGCAGTGTATTGACAAAGGTTTGTGAATGCTTAATGTATTATTCATTATGTTTTTGGCAAGCCATCGAACAAAGATGGTGACTGCATCGCGCGCTTTCAGATGCCCTTCTGCGAACGTCTGGAACGCTCTTCCTTTCAACGTTAGGAAACAATTATGTATTTTGAAATCTAGATTGAAAACTAATTTCTTTCGAGCTGATTTTTGCGTTTAGTTTGTTGTATTTTTCTCGCACCTGTGATTAGCATGGGTTGATTACACACGGTGTGAAAGGTCAACATACATACATTATTTTTAAACGTTAATTTGTTAAGTAAAAAACTGAAGACTTAAACGTTTAGGGTTGGTAAAAATAATGAAGGTGAAACGGTCACTTAAACGAAACATTATTAAGTGGTTGAGGAGTGTAGTTGTGCTGAACGGTCAGGGTCACATTTGTCGATACAGGTTTCCTAAATATAATTCACGTATAGGACAAATACCACTCGGGAATAAATCCTGAAATGTCTCTCAAGAATTAATTGTTCAGATGACAACTTCATTTATTTGGTTGCATCAGTTGGAGGATGATGGACGACAGACACATTGGCATTTTACTCAAGCGGCAAATCTGACCCAAAAATCAATGATGAGTCATGATACTGGTCACGAAAGCCAGCGTGTTAAAATTATTTTCTAGTTGGAGTGCCACTTATCCTTAATAACAAAGCTCTGTACACGAGTAGCTAAACTCTGTCTGCGAGAATAGGCGAGAGGCGCTTGGCGTTTTTATACAGCACACCAGGTGCCGAGGGACATTTTAATTTAGTGATAGTCCATCTTCCCATATGCCTCACAATGAACTCTGTTTTGAATGAATGTGTAATATTTATGTTTTCAGCCAGAACAGTTTTTTTCTGTACAATGCGCTCGCTTTTTTCATGTTTTTTTCTCTCTCCATACGATCGTATCCCACATTTCCCAATTTTCCACGGGTCATGCTTCCGAAAAGATAAGGGCAAAATGCAGTTGAGAGCGAGAGAATGGGATGCGTAATTGTACAGCAGAAGTTTGGGGGAATTACGCCGTCCAAAACCGCGGCTCATTTCAGGACGTTTACAAAACACGTGCAGATTTTTCAAGGCCCCTGTGCATGGACATGTGGACATGCACAAAGCACGGTGGGCTTGGAGTGACACAATCATTTTAAATTCTGTTAATGTCAAGCAATTGACTGAGGCTTGTCAGATGGCTTCTTAACCGCTCCGTTTTGCTTTATGTACCATGTTTATTGCCTTCTACGAGAAAATGCTGCCACTGTGTACATGTATTCATTTTAATGCGCATTGCTTGCAAATACAACATTTAGGAACACTGTGTTTCCAATAATGTACAAGCACGAGTAGGGCTTTGAAATAATGTGTTGACGAAATTCATTGGTTGGTTTTGATATTTTGGTTTGCCTTGGCAAGAATTAAGACATCTTTACTCATCACCAGCAGCACGCAGGCCTCGACATCTCAATTGCCGACACTGCTTTACGCAGAGGTCTGTCTCTGGTCCGGATTTCTAGAAATTTCCAAATTCTGTCCTGTGCGAGAGGGACTCTTAGACAGGCACGCGTAGCTTAATGGTACTCATCCAAATAATAACAAAGATTAATACATTTTTATTTAAAGCTTTCCTGACTGCAGGAATTCATATTATTGGTTCTTTCGGTAAAGTCACGTAGAAGGGAAATAATAAAATAATAAAAATATAAAACAATAAAATTCTCACGACGTTTCGACTGCAACACAAGCAATCATCATCAGGTGTGATTTCACGTGTTTTGTAAACGTCCTGAGAATTTTGTGTGAAATCACACCTGATGATGATTGCTCGTGTTGCAGTCGAAACGTCGTGATAATTTTATTGTTGATTATTTTTATTATTTTATTGTTTTCCTTCTACGTGACTTTACCGAAAGAACCAAGAATATAAAGATTAATAATTTACCAGCTTGTCTTTCTGCCGAGTTGTAGAGGCCAGTGCGGTAACATCCATCGTTGTCATTCACTTGCATGCTTCCACGTCTTTGCTCCAGGCCTGCACACCACGACATTGACCAGCATGCTGAAGTGTGATCAAAACAATCCCTACGGCTCGCAAAGGCATGAGGAGGCCCCTCATAAAGCAGTAGATTTGACTCGAGATGTACATGCTACACGTGTCTTTCTGAAAGGGTTGCACAAGCTGGGCTTTTTATTTAAAAGCCACCCACGATATTTAGTATTTTAAGCACTTTGTAATTCTAGCTTGTCACAGCTGCTCAGTCATCAAACGAAATCAGGGGAGGGGATGCCCCAATGACCAACAGTTTTTAGCCGTCAAAATAAAACATGTTCTCCGATCGTCACGCCTGCTGTTTTGAGAACAGGTGTGCCTCCCTGTGTTGTGTGCACTGCCCGGCGACCGGATATTTGACTCTGACCGTCGTCTTGGATGCCATGTGCGTGAGCCACACTGGAGCTGCCGTGCGTGGCGCACGAAGCGTCTGTGCGTGACGCATCTTTTTCCAGCCGTCTTCTCACCTGTACCATGGCGTGCCAAGCACGGGTTTGCGGAACAGAATGCAGAACGAATGAATTTTCCGGAACGATTGAAATTCACGAAACGGAACAATAAATGGAAGTAAATGTATGTATCTTCTTGGTTCTTTCGGTAAAGTCACGTAGAAGGGAAATAATAAAATAAAAAATAAAATATAATATTATCATTTTATTTTATTGTTAATTTTTTTATTATTTTAATATTTCCCTTCTACGTGACTTTACCGAAAGAACCAAGAAAATACATACATTTAGTTCCATTTATTGTTCTTTCGGTAAAGTCACGTAGAAGGGAAATAATAAAATAATAAAAATACAACTTAATAAAATAATATTATAATATAAAAAGAATATAATTATATAATATTTTATTATGTTTTATTTTTATTACTTTATTATTTCCCTTCTACGTGACTTTACCGAAAGAACCAAGAAGATGGATCCCTGCAGTCACGAAAGCTTTAAATCGAAATTTAAATGTATGTATATTTAAAAAGATTGTTTAAATTAAAACGAATGACATTATATACTCAATTGTTATTTTGCTCCATTATTTTCTTTGTCACGCTACAAAATGTTTCAGAATCGATTCTGAACGTTCCGCTAAACATTGATTGACATCACTTGCTGTGCACATCATTGTATATGTTCAACTTAGTCGTTACATCGTGGTAACATAATCATTTATTTGTATTTATTTACGAGCGTCACGCCATTACGTCTCGAAGTGCAAGCAAATGTAGTCTAACGAGTGAACCCACAGATCGATAAACATAACGAACAATTACTGTACGACAAGGCCGTAGCCATGGATTGGGGGGGACCAAATCTTATAGGGGGTCTGGGGGTCTCCCCCCCCCCACAGGAAAAAAAATCTAAATATGAAAACGAATTTCCTGCCTAAAATATTAAAAGTTTCTTTAACACATGGGATGGACTTAGATTTTTTTTTTACAATAATGTTTAATAGAGTATTGTATTACATTGCTCTGTTTTTTCTTTTTTACTTTTTCTTGTTTCATTGTATGTAATGGCAGAGATTAGGGATTAATAAAGTACAACCATAACCACAATCATAGAAACAGAAATCTATTTTATAGCAATATATTGGGGGGGGGGACATTTTGAGCATCTTTCAATATGACGAAATAAACATTCAGAATCTGTCTCTTTCTTCGTACAATTAAAAACAATAGGCATTGTTCGTGGCTAAGAGTAAATCTGGAGTCTTTTGTTGAATCGACGACGCAAGCTCATTGGTGCAGCGCAACGGTCAGCCACACCAGCTCACACCGTCACGTCCCACAACATTTGGATCACATTTAAAATGTTTTATTTTAAACTGAATGATGCTGGTGCAACAACCATTGGCAGTCAATATCTCATGAATTAACAAGAGTTCTGTGCAAAAAAATTAGGGCTGGATATTAAGGCCATTCAACGGACAAGTCCAGACGATATGAATGTTAATCATTTACTGAGCAAAATTACGCATCCGGCCGAAATATTACACAGTCCACAAAGCAACTCTTATCCACCTAATAAAATTACTCGGCCGTGTTACGGCTGCCTATAAAAGCCAAGGACACCCGTAACATACTGGCCGTCGAGTTTACGACTGACCCAGACGACTGCTTTGTGGAAGGGCAGAGAGGCTGGCTTATGGTCTTGTGAGACCCGAAGCCATTCGATGTCAAGCCCCGGCTGCGACCAGACGGGAACGTGGCACAGTCCTCGTGGGCATCGTCCGCCACTCGCAGCTCCTCCTCGAGACATGAGCCGCCCAGCGAGTCACGATGGCCGGTGCGTAATGCGCAGGCACACGAACAATCCGCTCCTCCGTGAGTCGCTCTCTCTCTCTGTGCCCCGGAGATTCTCGCCCTGCAGAGGTGAGAAGATGGCTGTGCCAAGGCCGTAATTGCAATTTCTATTGGGGGGGTGTGCCGTGCGTGACAAGCCATATGGGGGGGGGTGTGTCCCCCCCCCCCAATATTCAAATATGCTCAAAATGTCCCCCCAAATCTATTGCTATAAAAAATTGCTATGCTATGTAAATAAAAACAACAATTTGCTAAACCTTGGCCACAATATCTGGACTTGTCTTTATATAAATCAATGCATAGATTTCTGTTAATTTTTGAATCTTTTAGGCAAGAAATGTAGATATTTTTTCTGGGTTGGGACCCCCAGACACCCTGGAAGATTTGGTCCCCCCCCAATGTTGACTCTATGGCTACGGCCTTGGGCTGTGCCATCCGTGGCTGTTGAGCGCGCAGGCCGTGCAACTGCACCAGGGGCCACGCGGGCAGATAGGGGCCCAGGCACTGGGCTACAGAGATAAAGGGGCAGGTGGGGGGGGTGTTAGATCGGGGTCCCAGGGTTAAGTCTCGCACCAGGGTTCGTGTCAACCACGCTACACCACAGGCTGTGAGCTTGGAGTTGTTTGCTGTTAATTGCCGCGACCTGACCAACGTATCACTTTGAAATGTGTGACTGTCACAGTGACCGTCCTTTGATGCGGGCGCGCGAAGAACGCACCATACCCACGTTTTTTTGCGTAAACCATTCATTGTATCAGCGGGCAAGGTAAATACCGCGCCGCTCGACGGCACAGCTGGGTGTTGCCGTGCGTGACTCTCCGTGCCGTGCGAACGATCCCGTGGGCGAGCAGGAACAAGGGGCGGCCGGGGCTCCTGGCGGTGGCGCTTGCGGTGCGGGACGCGTCTAGGGGTCGCGTCGCCCCCTCGTCCGCACCGCCCTCGAACGCCGCGGCTCTGAGAGGCACGGGGAGGCCTCACCGTGCCGAGGTTGGTTCGCGACATCGCTAAACGCACAACCGTCGGGCGCCGGCAAAGACGTCGCGGGAACGATCACAATGACATCTCGCGCGCAGGACGCGTTGTTTTTTTTTATCACGGTTGGATGGATCACTGTTTCATTGCTTTCATGGCTTTATTTTGGTGATTTCGAAAAGTGTATTGGTTTAGCCATTTTAACACGTAGGCTTTCGCGACCAATGTTATTCATAATCAACGTTTTTGGGTTTAGATCGCGTTATTTATAAATGTGTCATAACCCTCCACCACCCGACACGGCCAATCAGTAAAAAAGGTGTCACGTTGACAAAAGACAAATAGTTCACTGCTTTAGCCCACCGGTGTGTTGAAGCCACAACATTTACAATTTGAGTACGACGTTTCGCTGGTAATTGAATCCAGCATCATCGGGCAATTCGCCAGAATGGTGAGGCTCTGCTGTGTCTTCCGTTCTGCTCTATATAAGAACGGGAGACACAGCAGAGCCTCACCATTCTGGCGAATTGCCCGATGATGCTGGATGCAATTACCAGCGAAACGTCGTACTCAAATTGTAAATGTTGTGGTTTCACGCTTCAACACACCGGTGGGCTAAAGCAGTGAACTAATTGTCTTTTGTCAACGTGACACCTTTTTTACTGATTGGCCGTGTCGGGTGGTGGAGGGTTACGACACATTTATAAATAACGCGATCTAAATCCAAAAACGTTGATTATGGTTTAGCCATGTTTGTTTGTTGTAGTACAGAGTTAGACTGATGGCCTTAATATAAGTTGTCTTGTGGTTGTTGTTGTTGTTGTTTGACTTGCATCCCACTGGGATTTTTGCACACAGCGTTGGTGTAACGGTGTTTTTTTCTGCAATATTTTGCTGTCTTTTCTTGGATTTATGTTTGCACTTAGTCACATAGTCACTTTAAGATGTTTTATGTTCATGTTTTTGTTGTTTGTTTGTTGCGGTTGCACCCGATTCAAGAGCCGAATGGCTCACAGGGCTATACCTAATAAATGAACTTGAAACTTGAACTTGAGATTAGTTGGCCACGGAATGTTTCCAGAGGATGGCTTCATTCGGTGAGTTCATGTTGGTTCACCACCTGTGTGGACGCCCTTGCCGACTCATAGAACTCTATCCGAAGAGGCTCGTGGATGTACGCAGAGACTCGTAGATCTCCACGCGAATGTTGGGGGTTTTCAGTACGGTCCACTACTGCCAGCTCGGTGTTTCTGCACTCGTGGGGGGCCGCCACCGTGGGGGGCTCTGCCCTTGCCACGTGCGGATCTTCTTTGCGTGTTGTGGTTGTTGTTTTCTTGTTTTCAAGGCAGTGGTGGTGTAAGGGGCCGTCCATAAATGACGTCACGCGATTTTGGACAATTTTTGACCCCCCCCCCCTTGTCACACGGCGTCACAAAAAGTCGGACCCCCCCCCCTCAAATATGACGTCACAAAGCTCTACCCCCACCCCCCCCCCAAATCGTATTTCCATTTTGAAAATAAAACATGCTTCAAATCGCTTTAAACTATTGTTATTGTAGTGCGTATTTAATGTGACACTGCACTCTGATGTTGTATGAGTGTTGTTATAACAATTAGTGTTGTAATGACAATTATATATTTATTTAAAGTTGCGAATTTTGAGGTGACGTCACATTTCTCAACCGCCCCCCCCTCGTCACACATCGTCCCAAATGTCTGACCCCCCCCCCCCTAGGTGCATGACGTCATTTATGGACTGCTCTTACTTGATACAGCTATCGTGCTGTGATGGTTCCACCTGAAGACGGAAGCTTGTGTTGCCTCCGAAACATCGTGATTTTAATTGTATTTTAATTTGACTTTTATTAATTTTAAGTTTTTACGTTTAACACGTAGGCTTTCGCGACCAATATTATTCATAATCAACGTTTTTGGGTTTAGATCGCGTTATTTATAAATGTGTCGTAACCCTCCACCACCCGACACGGCCAATCAGTAAAAAAGTGTCACGTTGTCGCCAGAATTGCCCCATGATGCTGGATGCAATTGCCGGCGAAACGTCGTACTCAAATTGTAAATGTTGTGGTTTCACGCTTCAACACACCGGTGGGCTAAAGCAGTGAACTATTTGTCTTTTGTCAACGTGACACTTTTTTACTGATTGGCCGTGTCGGGTGGTGGAGGGTTATGACACATTTATAAATAAAGCGATCTAAACCCAAAAACGTTGATTATGTTTAATTTTTTACCTACGTGACTTTACCGAAAAAAACTAAGAATATGAATCCTTGCAGTCACGAAAGCTTCAAATCTAGAAGTACACTGATATTGTTGTCGTCTCCCCCGCGGGGCAGCGCGCTGCGTGGAGACCCACGCTGCACCACAAGAGGAGCCCGCTGTTAGCGCTGCACGTGCGCCGCGCGGTGCCCTGGAGGCCCTCCCGTCCGCCCACCGGCCGTCTGCACGCCGCGCGGGGCACGGCGACCCCACCGCACGGGGACGCCCGCTCGCCCCACCGGACCGGTGAGAGGCTCACCGGCCGCGGCACCGCGTCTGGCACCGCGTCTGGCACTTTAAGCCGCCACAATTGACGAACACGGCGCACGGACACCGACGCACCATGCGCTCCGCGCTCCTTTCTCCAATGTCAGCCTGAAAGGTTTCACTGCCGCACTATTATTAGTTCAAACAATTATTAGATTTTTTCCCAATTACAAGTTCGATTATCGGTGGTACGATACGAGACGAAGGAATTTAAGTCTCACAGAAAGCAGTAAATTAAATAATTTACTTTTATTTATTTTAATTTTATTTTTCACCTACGTGACCTTACCGAAAAAACTAAAGAGTATGGACCCTTGCAGTCACTATAACTTTAAATCTAGAATCAATGTTAATTAGCTTTTTTAGAGAACGATCTGTGGAATATGACAATAAAGAACTACTTCTGAGACACATTCAGTTGCCTCTTATTGACACTGATTTGTCATGGGATGTTTTTTGGAGCAGCCATTAGTAACCGACTTATAGGATGGACTTCTTACACGGGATAATTTGGTTCAATAATGGGCAGCTGAAACCCAGATTACAACTCAAGACCTCAGCGATGCTGGTTCAATGCTGCAACGCAGTTGTGGGAGCCACGGTGGCGAGATGTCAACTACCTCGCCTGGTATACAGGAGGTCGTGGGATCGATCCTGACCCCTGATGTCTGTATATTTGCAGTTTGCATGTTATCCCTGTGGTCGTGTGGATTTTTCTCCGGGTCCTCCGGTTTTTCTCTCCACATTAAGCAACATAAGTGTAGAGTATTTGACTTATATACATTTTTACGTAATAAGCCACTTCGTTGAGCTAAGATTTGTGATAGCCAGATGGCTACTGAAAATAGCTATAGAGCTCAGTGGGCCTTACCTGGTAAAATATTTTTTTAAAATAGTTTATTATGGCTTCCATATACTTCAGGTAATTTTAAATGGACTTGGTTTGTTTAAATAATGAGGCACATTGCTCAAAAACATTAACTGCATATTTTCTCTCCTGTTTTAAGATGGCATTGATGATGGTGGTGGTGGGGTTCATCAGCACTGTCATTATAAAATTAATCACTAATGTTAACACGTTTAGCTAAATATGAAACTGGTAGAAAAGTCTTCACACCTTTACATTGTAACGTTCTGACCCGCCCCCACTGAACATCTATGAAAAATTGCTTTACAGCTAATCGGATTCCTCTAATATCAATATTCAGATTCTGACATTGTTAGTCTGACGAGGAAGAAAAAAATTGGATAAAAAAATCACAGGAAGACGTCTGAAATGTCCCACTGTTCAATCCCGGCACAGAAGAGGCCGAGGGCGCCCTGCCGGACCTGTCCAGCAGGGCACAGGGCGTCGCGATGAAAGCCGAGTGACCGTCACGGTGTGGAGCTCCTCTCATCAGATGCCACCCGGCTATACATAGCGTGGTGGAGTGGCGGTGCAGTGTATAGGGCATTGTGCTATGCACCTCGTGTACCCGAGTTCAATCCCTGCTAACGAGAATGGGCGGTGCATTGCGCTCTGAACCCCGTGGACCTGAGTTCAACCCCTGGTAACGAGCACTGCGATATGAACCCAGTGATTCCACTCCAATCTTTGCTAGCTAGCACCTATTAATTATCATTGGCGAGAGACAATGATAATATAATAGATCCCGCGCAACAGTAGCACGGCGAAGTACGGTCAAACAGCCCGCAGCACTAACGCGGCATGGGAAGGCCTTCGACCAGCAGTGGATTGACCTCGAGTCGAAAAATTCGAAAAATTCTGATTCTTATTACGACTGTAAAGACTACGCAAGCTCTGCCTTGGCTGTGGGTGTCGCACGCCGTGACAGACCACATGCAGCGAAGGGGACGCGGTCACAGCGGCGGTGGCGGCCACGGCGGTAGCGACGGCACGGCGTGGGACGGCGCGGTGGCCTGGAGCCCCGAGGAGGAGGCCGGCGAGGAGGTGGAGCGGGAGCTGCTGGAGCTGCTGGTGCCCCAGCTGGAGCCGTACAGCCGCCAGCGCCTGCGCTGCCTCGCGTGGGCCCTGCAGCGGCACGCGGAGGCCCGCGACGGCGTCCTCACCAGCGACGCGCTCACGTCAGCCTCGCCGCTGCCCCGTGGCACGCACGGTCCACTACACAGGGCTCACTATACATAGAGATCACTTCACAGGGCTCGCTATACATAGAGATCACTACACATAGAGATCACCACACAGGGCTCACTACACAGGGCTCGCTACACATAGAGATCACCACACAGGGCTCACAACACAGGGCTCACACTATAGATATAGATCACTACACAGGGCTTACTACACACCAAGCTCACTAAACACATGCACGCACCGCGCTTTTGCCGGTCCACTGTTTGATGAGCGCCTCTGGGAGTGATTGGGGCACAACGCTCAGGGCGGGTGGGCAAAGGCAGGGAGCATAGACGTTGGGAGCATAGAAGTACAGTACAATAATGGATATCGCTCACTGCCACCTTCTTTTCATAAACATAGCCCCGCAGCGGTCCACAACACGCACGGTGGCCACCCGTAGGCCCACAACACGCACGGTGGCCACCCATAGGCCCGCAACACGCACGGTGGCCACCCATAGGCCCGCAACACGCACGGTGGCCACCCATAGGCCCGCAACACGCACGGTGGCCACCCATAGGCCCGCAACACGCACGGTGGCCACCCATAGGCCCACAACACGCACGGTGGCCACCCATAGGCCCGCAACACGCACGGTGGCCACCCATAGGCCCGCAACACGCACGGTGGCCACCCATAGGCCCGCAACACGCACAGTGGCCACCCATAGGCCCGCAACACGCACGGTGGCCACCCATAAGCCCGCAACACGCACGGTGGCCACCCATAGGCCCGCAACACGCACGGTGGCCACCCATAGGCCCGCAACACGCACGGTGGCCACCCATAGGCCCACAACACGCACGGTGGCCACCCATAGGCCCGCAACACGCACGGTGGCCACCCATAGGCCCACAACACGCACGGTGGCCACCCGTAGGCCCACAACACGCACGGTGGCCACCCATAGGCCCACAACACGCACGGTGGCCACCCATAGGCCCACAACACGCACAGTGGCCACCCATAGGCCCACAACACGCACGGTGGCCACCCATAGGCCCACCGTGGTGGCTCGACGCCGCAGGGATCACACCAGTGTCACTGCAAGACAAAGGGGCAAGTGCTGCGAGCAAGTAGCAGCACCGATGAAGGCCGGCACAGCACACAAGGGGGGGTGGCCAGCACCACACCCGGACGTGTTTGCTTAAACACCGCACCAGGCAATCATTTGAGGCTGAGTTTACCTAAGGGAGGCCCAGGACTGGTTCAGATAATTATCACTTGTGTTGGCCGTGAGTGATAATTGAACCCGGTGCATTGGGTTCGTAGCGCAGGGCGCGAACCGCTGCGCTACCACTCCTCACACACACACAGGGGCACGTGCGTCCACGCACATGCACTCACTTTCACACACACACTCACTTTCACACACACACACTCACTTTCACACACTCACTTTCACACACACACTCACTTTCACACACACTCACTTTCACACACACACACACTCATTTTCACACACACACACTCACTTTCACACACTCACTTTCACATACACATTCACTTTCACACACACACACACACTCACTTTCACACACACACACTCACTTTCACACACTCACTTCACACACACACTCACTTTCACACACACTCACTTTCACACACACACACACTCACTTTCACACACACACACTCACTTTCACACACACTCACTTTCACACACACACACACTCACTTTCACACACACACAACCACTTTCACACACACTCACTTTCACACACACACACTCACTTTAACACACACAGCCACTTTCACACACACTCACTTTCACACACACTCACTTTCACACACACACTCACTTTCACACACACACACACTCACTTTCACACACACACTCACTTTCACACACACTCACTTTCACACACACACACACTCACTTTCACACACACACACTCACTTTCACACACACGCACTCACTTTCACACACACGTACTCACTTTCACACACACGTATTCACTTTCACACACAGACACTCACTTTCACACACACTCACTTTCACACACACGTACTCACTTTCACACACAAGCACTCACTTTCACACACACTCACTTTCAAAGACACACACTCACTTTCACACACATACACACGACCTCGGGGAGAGAAACTCCGCAGACTCCAAATATACAGCAGCAGCAGCAGGCGTCAGGGTCGCGATCGAACCCACGACCTCCTGTGTACCGGGCGAGGTAGTTAACATCTCGCCAACCGCATCAGAAAATCCTCACAGAGATCACTAGTAGCAAAAGTAGCTACAAATGCTACGGGCGCCGCGCTTTCAAGGGCCCCGCGCTAAATGCTTTCAAGCTATCAATTCCGGTTCAGTGATTCTGCACTTGCTCAATTACTATAGTACTACACCGCCTTCAACTTTTATGAACCACTGGGTGTTTAAGATTAGCGAGTTGTATTATCTGGCTGTATAGCAAATTAAAAAATACAATTACTTTACTATGCAAGTTAAACATTTGTGTTTTAATATTTGTGTTTTTAATTTATTTAGGCCCCCATTATAACATACGCTACAGGCCCCGGAACTAGCTTAACCCGGCACTGGCACGGTGGTGTTCCATCTCCCGTCTCGTGTCCCCCCCCCCCCCACCTCCTCCTACAACCACCCCCCAGGTCGTGTCTGCAGGAGTGCCAGCTCGCTCTGTCCGAGCGAGCGGTGCGCATGCTGGCCGAGAGATTCAGGTAACGAGCTCGGAGGAGAAGGGTGTCCCCTGCTTCGCCATCCGCGATTTCCCCCCCCCCTCCCCCGATGCATCGCGACACGCCGGCTGCCAACATCGCAGGGGCAATCCACTTGTAAAGGTTGCCCATTGACTCCGAAATGACGCCTCCTCGTGCAGTCTCCGTCTTCTCAACGGGTGATTGAATCTAGGCCGTAGCCATGGAGTCAACATTGGGGGGGACCAAATCTTCCAGGGGGTCTGGGGGTCCCCTACCCAGAAAAAAAAAAATCTAAATTTGAAAACGAATTTCCTGCCTAAAATATAAAAAAGTCACTAACACATGGGATGGACTTTTTATTATTATTTTTAACAATAATGTCTAATAGTGTATTGCATTACATTGCTGTTTTTACTTTTGTACCATTTCTTGTTTCTTTATGTAATGGTAGAGATTAGGGATTAATAAAGTACAACCATAACCACAATCATATAAACAGAAATATGTGCATTGATTATACGAAGACAAGTCCAGATATTGTGGCCAAGGTTTAACAAATTGTTGTTTTTATTACATAGCATAGCAATTATTTTTTATAAACAATATATGAGGGGGGGACAATTTTGAGCATATTTGAATATTGGGGGGGGGGGGAAGTCCGTCGTCCCCCCCCCCCCAATTTATATTATAATACGGCCTTGGATGAATTACCCGATTGTGACAAGCACTTTGCTCCGTGCACGATGTCAGCGAGCGAGCTAGGGAGGAGGAGCGGCTGTTAAAAAATGAAATCACTTTTAATTCATGCAGCCGGATTTGAAAGCCGCCGGTGTTTGGCTCCGTCATTCAGGGGTCGTACATCACTGACGTCACGCACCTAGGGGGGGGGGGTAGACATTTGTGACGATGTGTGACGAGGGGGGGGGTTTGAGAAATGTGACGTGACATCAAAATGTGCAACTTTAAATAAATATAGACAACACGTTCTACTTAATTAAATAGACTTTTTAATAAATGTTTCCTCCTACAACATCAGAGTGCAGCGCCACATTAAATACGCACTACAATGACAATAGTTTAAAGCGATTTGGAGCATGTTTTTGGGGGGCGGGCAGAGCTTTGTGACGTCATATTTGAGGGGGGGGTCTGACTTTGTGACGCCGTGTGACGATGGGGGGGAGGGGGGGGTAAAAAAAAATCGTACAAAATCGCGTGACGTCATTTATGGACGGCCCCTAATTCCTTATTATTGTCGTGGGCTCTCTATAAATGGACCACCTCGTGTGTTATGACGTCGCACGGTGTATACAGCATTAGTGTCCGTGTGTAACACATGTACATGTATAACACACATGTGTAGTACACAGGTACGCGTGTGTAACTGCTGGATGAGGAACTTCTCATCGCCTTGCGAGTCGTGGGGGGGGCAGGGGGGGGTGACCATACTTCACCACGCGGGGCGGTGCGAGTTTGGTGAAAGCGTGGAGCGTGTGAGTGATGTGCAACAATGGGTTTCCCTGCACTCCCCTCTGCTGTGCACAACGTATCAACACACACGTGTGTGTGGGAGCTAGGCCTTGGCAAGGTAAGGTAATTGACCCTTGACATGCCAAGGGGTAAGGTAAAGGGTACAGGGTAAAGGTAGCGCGAAGTGTTACCCGGTAAATACGGTGCCTTGTTGACCGCTAAAAGCTCCGTGGCGCAGTCCGTGGCCTCCGTTTAATAAGTAATATTGTGGTAAGGTAAAAGGTGGGGTAAACATAGACTCGTTTTTACCTTTTAACTTTTACCTTACCTTGCCGAGGCCTAGTGGGAGCAGGGCCCGTCCATAGGTGTGACAAGTCACACTGCGGGCTCCCCCTGCCACCCACAACGCCTTCAAACTAAACCGGCAGTATTAATTACACCCGGCAGCGTGCAACGTGGAAACGCGGGGCCCTTTAAAGTGCGGGGCCCGGGGCGGTCGCTCCTAATCGCCGCCGCCGCATGCAGAGCCTGTAGCATATGTTATAAAGGGGCCCTGAATAAAAATAATATTAAAACACAAATTTTATTGTTTCATTTGCTATACAGCCAGATAATACGA